CACCCACGATCCCGCACCACACGGGGTCCGAACCCAGGACCTACTGGCTTCGCGCGCGAGCACTTAACCATTAGACCACTGAGCCGGCATCCAACGGTGTTAATGTCTAACTTCAACCAATATGTCACTAATATATGGATGGATCTACTGCAATCTGTTCTGTAGATTAACATAGTTGTTATAATGATAGATCAGTTAAAATAGATCATTCGTAAACAAGCATTCTGTTCGATTGAAAATCTTTTTTCAAATAATGAGTGAATAAGACACTGTAATACATTCCTGGGTTACTCAATATGTTTGTACATTACACATTATTCACTGACAGTGAGGATGATTGGAAAAATTGTACAAATATCATGTATTATTACTATTATTTTAGGGAGATTTGATGAATATGCAAAAATGGCCGTGCAGTAAATGTTAACCCAAAAATCCATTTGCCTTATTTAGTTCTGTTATTCACCAACGCGATTTAAGTCGATAATTGTATACTAGGATAGTCAGGATGTATATTTCGACAGCAATCACTCAATAACCATTATTCTTCCGATCTAACTGGGCCACTAAAAGACTTTTCGCACAAAATAAGTCGATATATCTGGCATTAATTTGAATTCGGAACAAAGTTTTCACTTTTATGTTTCATGAATATAGACAATCTCTAAAATATTTTTCAAAGTAAGATCATTGTAAATGTCACTTTTCATCCAAGTATAAATTAATAGATGCTTCTTTAATGGCATAATCTTGAATCACTTATCCTACTGAACACTAAGTAGGCGATGATAAGATTCGAAATAGCAAATCCGCTTACGATATTTACATTGTATATCATTTGTTATTGTTTTGGTTCACTAAAGGGAGAGGAGAATGTTTGACTGATGATTCGATTAAGAGATAGAAATGTAAGTCTTAGTTTATGTTTATAGTTTTGGAGTTCTGGCTACAAGCTCAGTAACCTACAGCTAGATTTCTATGAGGTATTACTTAATTTTTCTAATAATACTCTCAAGACTGTTTATTTGAAAACCCATAACAGTGTAAAATAGCTTTTGAACACTTATCTCAATGTTCAGTTTATACCGCTACTAAGTGAATTAAAACTAGTGAGGATTTTGATGTCTATATGTAGAGTTTTAGTGATTAACACTAATTCATTTAAACGTACTTTGATCAAACTTACCTACATTTAAAATATCAGTAATGCTCTTCATTGATTAACATAAAGCTGAGACGTTACAGGTACATCCAAACGTGACCATTTAATTAAGCTCTGACAAGTATTTGTTTGTCATATATTCACTTATATTAATTAACTAGTCTATTTTTGATGAGTAATCAAGGTGTTTGTTTCAAGTACGAGGTGACTCTATATTGTATATATTACACATTGGCTGCCAATATTTTTAAAATTTCATAATCCATAATGCACCCCTATAACACTACTTTCATACACTTATTAATTCCCAACACAACATTCAATATGCTTGCTAAGAATCATCTCACTTGAAGTGAATGATACAAAGTTACGAATTTGTTTCATAAAATGTGAAAACCATATATTAAATACTTCATTTGCAAATCTTCTATCAAGTGTCTCAAACTTTATCATTCTTTCATCGCTATTAATCTCTGTTTACATTTCCGTCTTCTTCAATTTCATCATCTCAAACTTCTGTTGCCAGTCCTTCCATGTTAGATTGGTGTTTCATACTTCTTATGTCCGACGACATAAGTAGCATACACCACACGGTAATAAAATGTGTGCTTATTTACAATGAAAAAAAACCAAATAAAGTTGATATGTGTTATATCCTAATAACAAATAGACGAATGATCGAGGCTAAGAATTATTTATGAATACATTCTTATTCTATAACTGTTAAGTAATTAGATTATATCTATTTGTGTTTCTCTTATCGTAAGCTTTCATTTGATCTATTGACTACTATCATACGATTTATCATTCTCAAATTATTTCCAATCTATTAGTTACACTATCTCACAATCACAGTCACTTTCAGTCTAATCTTGTATAATGATTATTTTTTTATTCTATGATGTGATGAGGTCTGATTTGCATGCACATATACTACGTATGTCTGAAATATATGAAGGCGGCCTGCTTGAATATCTGGGCTACCTGTTCCTCCGATCTAGATATTTCATCAAGTTATCTGTTTTATTGTTTTTTTTAACACATCATTATGTCTATTGTGCACACAATCTATTCAGGCGCGTTTATGAAAAGTTTACAACCTTCCGCTATACGGGATACAAAAAGGTACAATCAGCGACATCATGGTGGCCGGCAATATGCATTGAAACGAATGAACATTAATCAAATGTGGATTACCGAACTCCTAACATCTAACTGGTCATCATTCAAAATTTATCGTCACAATCGATCAAGGTATAAGAAAAGGGAACTTATCGAAGTACTTTATTCTGAGAATTCTATGTTGTACCAAAAATATAATGTTGAATAAAGCTTCTAATAATAAAAAAATACAATAGAAGTTGAAATTGTGTTCTGCACTCAACAGGCAATGCAAAGTAATAAGAATCAATAAGGACTCAGAATTGACTCTAGGTTGTTCATGCTAGTTAACAAATTATTGATTTGGCATAGGGCCAAAATCGTGTAATTCGGTATTGTAATTGACGATCATATCACATGATAAATAACACATTATATAAGTCATAATAATATTAATTCAAATATTCGGTCAACAATATATTTACTTACTTTGGTTAATTAGTCTATCATCTGTAATTATATTCTTATTCAATAATTTGTTTTTGAAAAAAATGATCTACTAAATAATCCAGACACAAGGCTATTAGAAATTCTTTATTGTCAAGATAATGAATTTCTTTTAAAAATTAATTATAATATATAAATTTATTATATTAATTCTATTCTCAATCATATGACATAGAAAGAAAGAAAGAAAAAAGAAGAAGAAGAAGAAGAAAGAAGAAAAGAAAAACAATTATTTGTTTCCAATCAAATGACCTTAATATTAAAGTTGATCTTGTCTGAGATTATTCTTCACAATTAAATTATAACTATTGATCCATTCAATTCATTAATTAATATAAATAAAAAAGGTTTACAACAAATAAATTATTATTATTAAATTGAAAAAATAAAATGTCATTTAAGAAATTAACAAAATTACAAAAATATCTTATATTTCTTTATGTATTCTGTACAGTATGTGGATTGATAGCATCAACAATATTATTATTACATTATATCAGAATCAATTCTAATTGTAAGTTGATTTATAAAATGGAACCATAATAATAATAATAATAAATCAATAAATTATGTCACTATTATTACATTTATACAATGATATTTTACATGATATAACATGTTCTTTGCTTAATTATATACCTAAATTTAAACTATATATAAGAACTTTTGTTTAAATTTGATCGAATAGTTTCACAGTATCTGGGTGCTGAGACATTAAAGAGGAAGAATGAATTTATAAAATCTCAGCGAAAGAATTCAAAGTAGATAGATAGATGTTGATTGATTAATTAATTTGATTATAAAATGTGTTTACAAACTCAGTATCGTTCTTTTCAATTCATTTGTAACTAAGACATAAATGAGAAATTTGATTAAAACCAGTAATTAGATTAATTCATATCATTTTAAAACTTATTTTTCCAGTAAGGTTTTGTTAGAAATTATTATGAATAACCATATAATTCAATTGTGAGATTATTATCCAACATTCTTTGATTTATGAATAAATAGTACATACATAGTGTTCGTGTTTTTGTATGTCAGGTAATGAAATAGTGTCATTATTATTGTACATAAGCTAGCCTAAATAGATTATAGATACAAAATTTGGTTTCCTATTTCAAGACCCTACAATATCTACAAATGGGGGGACGGAAAACTTTAAAGATAACTTTTCCTAATGTAAAACTTAAAATCTATATACAATTAAATTTAAGCAACCATGTAAAAGCGGATAACAAATAAACTTTCTAATGACATAAGTTTAAGTGAACGAAAAAAACGTAAATATAGTCGGTAAAATATGTATGTCGAAATTTCATGAGAGAATCAACAAATGGTGTTGTTAGTGACATACAATGTTATGTATGATGTCGTGAAATCGAGTGAAATATATGCATCACCTCATTGTACACATACTGATTAATAGTTTCTGTTTTGTTGGCATATTTTTACACTGATCTAGCCTCGTCACCACTCACAGACAGTTCTCCTACAGTGGATAAATCAAAGATGGATACAAGTAAGTTTATAAAATGAATTTCTCGGTGCCTTTGAATCATTATGCACATGTTGGTTGGCTGAATTGCATATGCTTTTATGACGGATTTGCGTTAAATTCCACATATACTTCTATAATTTTTTGCTGTGATTTTACTTTTTGTGACCAAAATATCATCATAATTTTGTTACATTTATGCTTTTTTTCACAAATTTTACACTATTTATTATATTTCACTTGTTGAAATCATGAGTCAGTTGAAGCTAGACCACCATGGAAAACCCCCAAGCACTGGACGGCCGTTTCGTCCCAGCATGGGACTCCTCAGCAGTGCGCATCCACGATCCCGCACATCGAGAGATTCGAACCCAGGACCTATCAGTCTCGCTCCAGGCGCTTAACCAACTAGACCACTGGGCCAGCATCCAACGGTGTTAATGTCTAACTTCAATCAATCCATGGTGGTCTGGCTTCAATTAACTTATGATTTCAACAAGTGAAATTTCTAAAAATCTCCACATAACCCATTTGGATAATATTTATTATATGTATTTTATTTATTATGAATGTTTCTCTTTGCATTGGTCAGGTTTCAATAAGTATGGTAATTTATTATCATTCTTAAAAACATGAACGTTTTATTAGCTCACTTTGTGAAAGTTATTTGACTATAACTTAAATATAACTAAGTGTTTATTTTCTTTCTATTTTATTTCATATGAAGACAATATGTTTATCAATAATAATTGCACAGGTATTATCACAGATAATGAAGTTAACACCAACTGTGATAATTTTGAAGAGTCTGTTTGCCACAAACAAATATCAAATGACTTCCCTAAAGATCATTTATTACAATCAGATGATTTTATCATAGATATTTGTGAGTTTAATTAATAACTTTTCATTAATTACTTCACATTTAAGCATGATTTTGGTCAAGGTTTTTAATGTCTATAAACTTTTAACTTATTTTGATTGTATACAAAATTATTGACTGAAATCATAAGAAAAATAATCAATTTTTAACACGTACCTAATTATCAGTTTTACAGCGTAAAATAGTGGTTTATTCAGTGCCGATTACATTCATCCTAATTAAGAAAGGCAACTGCCTCATAACTTCCGAAGAATCTCGTCTTTCGCCTCGTCTTTATTGCTTCCTATGACTGAGCATTAATGTTAAGCAATAATATTCAGAGTAAAGCATTTCCTAAAAGTTATATATTTGTGTTGTATCAAGTCAATCTTTTCAAACTTCCATGGAAAAATTATATCCAAACTTGAGCACAGATCATTTTAATAATCTACTATATGTCTTTCAAGACTTGTATTCAATTCAGTAAATAGTCTCAAAACCATCATTATTTTCTTACTAAATGATCTTTATCAAGCACAAACTACTTTACATGGATAATGTGGTGCAAACCTACTCAAGTGCATCATAATTTTAATGTAAAAATTCTAACTAACAGTTATTTTACATAGACTTTATCCATGTATGTCGAAGTAGAGCATTATATTTGTATTTTAATATACGAAGTAGGCGAGACTATGATTTATGGACAAACCAAGCACATATATGGTAAAAGGTTTTGGAATTTGACACGAATTTCATTCACTCGTTTTGTTAGATATCATCTTGGCATTATAACTGATGTCATTTCGTGATGGAAACATTAAATCTTATTCTCAACCATAATGTTCAACTGTAAATTCTAATCCTCATTCCTCACACTAATCTATGATCCTCATTTAACCGTAGTAAGTAAGTGGTCATCCCAAGGTCATTTTAGCGTTGCTCAAACGACGTCCATATATTATAGTCTCACCACAAAATAAAATCACACTAGTAGTTAAATCAAAATTTTCTAAGTTTATCAAACAATCTAATTATCGTCAAACGTTTGTGTAATTCTGTCAGGCAACATCACGAATTACTCGAAGTTAGACACTAACACCGATGGATGCCGGCTCAGTGGCCTGGAAATTAGGCATTCGTGATTTCAATCAGATTTATTCTATTATAAACGTGTAATAAATAAATAATGATTTTGAAATGTTTCAAAATAGTGCACTAATTTATTAATTTATTTCGTTTTAAGTGAGGAATACAATGAATGTAAATGAATCACATCTTACGGCTGCTATTAATTACTACCGATCTTGTATCACAAACTCTAAGGAGGAAACATCGTCAAGAAAAGAGAAAATTGTCCAATTAATCTCATCTCTTTTCAACGGATGGTCATCGCCACTGTATTCTGATAAGATCTCCTTCAATATTAGCAACAATATATCTGATAATAAATTGTTCAATCTTACCAATTTAATTTTACCACTGATATTTCAAAATGGAAAAGCAACTATATTTTCTCTAAATGTAGTTCAAAGTAGAAACAAAAGTATAAATCCATATATTTATGTGAGTTATTGAATAAAACAACTTTTGTTTATTTACACATAATTCTAAATTATAAACGTTTAGTTTTCATCATTTCCATCTAGCTTACAAACCAGTGAATTGTCAGGACTCTAAACCTAGAATCATTTCATAGTACAATAAAGTGATGTTTATAATAATCTTTTTTATCAGACTTAAATCAAGTTCGAAATACCTTCATACAATTAATTTTAAATTAAACACTGTTATTAGTTAGGCACTATATCAGTACGACATTATTCTCTCGTTAACGTATACTCTAACATTTTCACAAAATTCGCATAAATATTAGGGTAATTGAATGTATGTATGATTCTTTGAACGTATTCAGTTCATAGTTACATCAGTAGTAAGTGAAAGCCTCATATTACGTAATACGCCATACATTTTATGTATTGGGGCATTTTTGAGCTTAAATTCATAAATAATTTTGTCAATTATGAATAACAGATTCAGTTATAGTTTATTTACTATCTGTATCACTTCATTCCATTTAGGTCGTCAGTCTAAGCTAAAAAAAAGTGTGCACACTCCAAATGTGAAAACGAACTTCACTGTTTCCTGTACCAATAATTTTGTCCTAGAACTATTTATTTTCTATAATCCATTTAACCAAAGCATGAAATCCATGTACTGATAGTCAAAAACTAAGTGTTCCTATCTGGAAAAATAACATTTAGCATCCTACAAATCAACCTTCTTAATTCAACAAAATACTTCGTAAACAATAATCAAAACTCTCAATAGACAGCCAATGTTAACGTAAACGCTTTCCGAAAGAATGAATACCGATTAGTAACTCTAACATACAACTGTACAATATTTCATTTGAATTCTATTAAACAATACAAATAACTTTATCTTCATTTCAGATTTCTTCAGGTCCACTTAATGTATTTACCAGTAGTGTTCCAAACACAGTAAGATAAAGGAATAAGAATCTATTTAATTATATTTTAATTGATAATAGAATTTCATTGACAGTTTATTTCTGATTTATTGTAATCTGTAACACGAAACATCATGTTAAGTTAATTTTATTGATCGAATGTATCAATAAAGTTGTGAATAATGGTGGATACAGAGTTTAAAACAGTTTAGACTTACTTTTTTTATCTCAATCATATCGAACAGTATTCTCGATGAGATTATAATTTATGGACAACGTTTGAGCAACGCTAAAATGACCTTGGAATGACCACTTACTTACTACGGTTAAATGAGGATCATAGATTAGTGTGAGGAATGAGGATTAGAATTTACAGTTGAACATTATGGTTGAGAATAAGATTTAATGTTTCCATCACGAAATGACATCAGTTATAATGCCAAGATTATATCTAACAAAACGAGTGAATGAAATTCGTGTCAAATTCCAAAACCTTTTACCATATATGTGCTTGGTTTGTCCATAAATCATAGTCTCGCCGTATTCTCAAGCACAATAGAACTAAGAAATACCACGTCAGCTTACAAATATCACTGATTTCCTACTTGTTTTCTTGTATCTTAATCTAAACAATGTGAAATTTTTGACAAAATATAAGTAAACGCAAATGTCATAATAACAAAATGACGAATTCAGAAGAAAATTCGTCTGCGTAGATAATGTGATGATAGATTACTTTTTATTAATTGTTGCAAATTAACCAAAACATTATAAGCAGTTAGTATCATTGTCAATTTGGTAGATCTTTGCCACCATCAACTCGGATACAGTACGTAATCAACCACTCATAGCACACTTCATCTTGTGTGTATTACAAACGACTTAAATGAAAGAACATACACACTTGACTGTCGATTAGAAATTCTTTGGAATTCTCAATCATCACATTAACATTAAAATCTTCTATACAGGAATCCTACAAGGCTCATTAAGTCAGTTAAAATCATTTATTACATTGATTAATCGTGGTTCATTTACTTCCACACTGTTCCAGTGAATAAAGTACATGTTTATTGACTAAAAGAGTCTACATTGACAACGTTAATTAGGGTAAAACTTCTAAAAAAAACTGCATGTAATTGAAAATTAATTTATTTACATCAATAACCTGTAATATATTTCATGTGTAATACCTTAATCACTAATAATAATACATGTTTTGGGACAACAATGTATTTCAGTAACCATCTATATATACACATATATAGATTGTTGAAGATTAGAAAACGTGTCATATTATATTCTATAAAAGTGCATCGTTTAAATACATATTAAAGTAAATAAAAAAGTAGTCTATCTTCCCTCAAGGTTGAAAAATTGCATAAAGGTGTGATCGATATTCTATCCCAAGAATTGCGTAACCATGAGCCCACATGTGAGAATCGAACTCAGGGCCTTCGCGAACAGTCATCATGTGCTCCCTAGTGACTAACTTCAAGATGGATTTCCTGAAGTCCCAGTAAGAAGCCGTGACCAATGGAGTCCAATTCATGTAGGGTAGAGACAGACATCCACCTCAGACAATGGATGAAGGGTTAAGCAAGATCATGAATAGATTGAAGTTAGACATTAATACTGTTGGATGCCGGTCGGCTCAGTGGTCTAGAGGTTAAGCGTTCACGTGTGAAACTGAAGGTCTTGAGTCCGGATTCTGTTAGTGCAGGATCGTGGATGCATACTGTTGAGGAGTCCCATATTAAAACGAAATGGCAGTCCAGTACTTTCGGGTTTTCAACGGTGTTCTAGCGCAAATCGACTCATGAATTCGAATTAAAAAATTACTGCAATCTCCACAAACTCCCATTTTGATAACAATTCTATCCCAAGGTTAGAAATGTTAGTTTCAAATAAACTGAGTATCGGATAAGAAGTCAATGATAAAAAATTTTTTCTTATATCCCAATGAATAATATTTTGTTTATCACTATCATACTTATCCTCATTTCTGATTCATATGTACTTATGATATGATAAAATCGGGAACTTGTGTACTTAACCTTTTCCATAACTAATAACTAGTTGGTTAACAATGAAGAAGGAACAGAAGAACAGATTTTCAAGTTACTGGAGAATTTTGAATTGGTGGAAAATAAGGAAGAATTGGCAAAAGGTGTTTTCAATTTGTATTCAGACATTAAAAATGTAAGTAAAATTATCACAACCACTTTGCAATTATTCAAAACTTTATTGTGATACACATTTTAACATATCCCAATACTTTGGTTATTAAGATACTTAAATTCCAGGTATTGAGAAACGCTTATGGAAAACTGTACCATCTAATGAAATTTCAACTGTCGAATAGTTTAAGCAATTGTTACTGAGATGCATTTCTTACTTACCTACTTGTTTACTTACTTACTTACACCTGTTACTCCTCATGAAGGAGAATAGGCCACCAACCAGCATTGTACATCCAACTCTGTCCCGGTTAATCCTCCCCAGTTGCTTCCACTTGCTATTCATTCTCTTGATTTCTGCCTCCAATTCTCGACGCAGTGTGTTCTTTGGTCTTCCTCTTTACTATTTCCCTTCAGGATTCCGAGTGAGCGCTTGCTGCCTAATGTAGTTTGCTGGTTTTCGCAATCCATGCGTTATCCACCTCTAGTGTCTTTTTCCAATCTCCTCTTCAAATGGAAGCTGATTTGTTCTCTCATAGTAGGCTGTTGATGATGATATCCGACTAACAGACATTGAATATCTCGAGTAGGTAATTGTTTATAAATACTTCTACCATTTTGATAATGGTTGTAGTAGTTATTCCAGTTTCAACTGTCTTGACAATCGTACTGAAGATTCTGACTTTGGAGTTGGCTGACAGTTGGTTTGATTTCCATATGTTATTCAGTTGTGAGAATGCCGCCTTTGCTTTGCCAATCCGCACCTTTACATATACATCATCTTCCTCCATGTTTGTCGGTGATCCTGCCCATATAAGTTAATGCCTATTGGTCTCGAAATTGGGCCTCTACTGGATCTTCCATCTGGTTCAGCAACACTTTGTTGAAAACTTTTCCTGGCACTGACAGCAGTGTAATGTCTCAGTAGTCCCAACACTTGTTCAGATCTCCTTTTATTCATATCATGCTGTGTCCTTCTCTCCAATCTACATGAATAGACAATGAAACATCTCTGCAATTACCTCTCTGTCTGACTTCAGTGCTTCAGCTGCTATGCTATCAGATTCCACTGCTTTCCCACTCTTGACTTGGTTTATGACCATTCTGATCTCTTTGGTCGTTAGTGGAGTGAAATCTATAGGAATGCCCGTGAGTATTGCATCGATGTCTTATGGGTTCGATGATGTTTGCCTATTCAACAGTCCTTCTAAGTGCTCAACCTACCTGTTCCTCTGTTTTTGAATCTCAATGACTGGCTTGCCTACTTTGTTCTTGACTGGTCGCTCTGGTTTGCAATATTTCCTTCTCTTGAAACTTCATTCGCTGTTATTTCCAGATCTTTTACATATTGCGGCATGTCCGATCTAATGCTCTTCATCGAACTCCCGTTTGATTCTGTATATTTTGTTTGTGCCTTGACTTACTCTGTTCTTGTTCAGCTATTGACCTTCCTGTCTTGAACCCTGTTCAAAGTTTTGGTAGAGATCCATTCCTTATGACGATGTTTTTTACGGTTATTGACAAGTTGAAGTTAGTGCTCCTTTGATCCCTTTCCAGTTGTTCTCCATAGTAATTTCCTCTTCTTTGAGTAGATCTTGTAGGGCTTGGAACCTGTCACTGAGAGCTATCTTGAATTCATTGAGTCCATCAGGGTCTCGAAGAAAGGCTGTATTGAACCTTTTTAATGCTATTCCCATAGCTGTCCAGTGCTTTTTAGTTCCAATTTCATCTTGGCCACTACCAGGTGGTGATATGAAGCTAAGTTAGCTCCTCTTCTGGTTCTCATGTCTTTTATTGTCCTACTGAGTTTTTCAGTGATTCGAATATGATCAATCTGTTTCTTCGTCAACTGATGCGGCGATACCCATGTAGCTTTGTGTATGTGTCTGTGGGGGAATATAATTCCATCTGTAAGCATCTTGTATTCACATAAATTTGCGAATCTATCACTATTTTCGTTTGTTTCTCCCAGTCTATGTCGTTCCATGATATTTTCATACCCCGTGTTGTTTATTCCGACTTTGGCGTTTGGGTCATTTATCAGAATGGTCAAGTCGTTTCCTAGGCACTTCTCTACGATCAACTTCAGCCTCTCATAGAACTGATCTTTATCGCCGTCGTTGCTATCATTGATGGGTGCATAACATCGGATAACATTCACTGTAATTCCCTCTTTCTTTGTTTCGAAGAATGCTTTGATGATTATAGATCCATGAGATTCTTATCCTATAAGTGCTTTCGTGCCTCTTTGGAAAGAACCAGAGCAACTCTCTCTGTGTGCGGAGCATTTCCTTCTTTGTGACCAGAGTACGGTAGCATCTCTCCTGAATCTATCTGTTTCTGTCCAGCTTGGGTTCAGTAGATTTACTTATTGCAAGTTAAGTTTGAAGCGTATTAGTTAATTTTAAAATATATAAACACTTTCGGAGTAAAAACTTATGTAATTATACTTATTTTTTAACGTATAGATATCGAGTTGACTGATTGAATTATCTTTCAAGATTTTTACTTAAAAACCAAACCTGGTTTCTGAAATTAAGTTGATATTTATAAGCAAACTTGGTCTTTTGAACGTTACAATAGTAGCATTATTTACTTTAAAAGGTAATGTCTGAATGATAACAGTGACAAAATAATAATAATGGAGATGTAACGATTTATCTCCTTTTCCTGACAGACGCTGACCTACTGAATATGATTTCACCAATAAAATTAAACATATTACGCCATACTATTAAAGGTTTCACAATTTCATGATTACTAATGACAATATACCGTAGTTTGGCTACAAAACTTAAAAATCTATCATCAAACTGATGAGTATCACTGAATAATTGAAGTTGAATTAAAATAGCTTAATATAAACGATCATCGAATTAAACTGATTATACATAATTTACATGTTAAACAGAATGCATTAAGCCGTAATACCTGGTTAGTCAAATGTATACACTTTCTTGCTGATGATAGAACATGTTGTTTGTCGTCTGAAAAAATAACTGAAAATAAACTGATATCGTTTTATCCCTAATGATGTCTAAATTTAGATATATCTGTGTAAATAATCAGTAGTTGTAATATGACAAAATATTAGGTTGCTAGCATATTCACTATATGACATGACAGGATGAAAAGGCAAATATATTTTTAACCCACTATGTTTAGTATGATGTGGAGCATGCGATCCTGTTATCTCATAAATGTGACTTCTTTCTAAATAGTAATCAAAATTGCTGTTCAATCATTGTATAAATCAGTTGGCTTTTGACTATGATTGTCATGTTTTTGGGGTGAATAGATCTTCACTCTCACCAGTCTTCCATGTTTTTACTTCGCGTCGTGGGTATTGTAGTGTTTACTCGCTTTTACCTACAAGTAATAGGCAATGCGAATATTAAACTAATTCTCACTAAAATCATAAAAAGCAGATTAATAAATTAGATACAGAAGATTTAATCGACTATAGATTACCGATTGGGGGGACCGGTTTAGACTAAGTACAAATCAATATTTATTCCAATTTAGTTTCAAAATTCTCAGCTATACTCCTTCACTATCGTGAATTTGCCTTTATTATTATACATCAAATAATTTACTGTGGTTATCACGTGATATTGTCTTTGTTGCAGGCGATCCCATTGCAGAATGTCGATAAAGAAGTCCCATTTGAAAATCTGAGCCAAATCTGTTCCGTTGTAGGTTGATAATTAAATCGCTTTTAAAGTAGTATATTCATGCAAAGAACTTTTCTGATGTAAGCCTGGTTATCCAATTATGTGGGCACTTACTGTAGAAATATTACTGATACATTATTCATTAGATAGTTGATCTTCTTATATTCCCTATCTTATATACCTACTACTGTAGTGAGTGCTACTTTTATTGATATAAGTAGTATATGACGCGAGTCAGTAATGTAATATCTGGTAGCAGAAGATGGGGGAAGATTAAGAAAGGAAGAGCGGGAATAGAAAGAAATCAGTATGGAAATGCAAGAACAATGGGGTTTGAGACAATTATTGAACATTTTGTAAATTAAGTATTATAGTATGGATTTTCTATTTTACCAAGTGACTCTGTAATTTTGTGCTTAATACATTCGATCGTCCCCACCCGTGTTCTGTTCAATACACTACTACTCATGTCTGTTATCCTTCGTGGAGGAGTATAGGCCGCCCACTAGCATTCTCCGTTTTATAAAACTAAGGAGGAGATTCATCCGTTCACTAACTTACTGTTAAAGTTAATTCAAATCAGTTTTACTATGACCTTTACTGTTACCGAGCTACAATCATTATTATTACCTTTCATATCTTATCATTATTTCAATTTTTCCTAGTATAACAATTTTACATAATTCTTATCGGTTATCATAACATATGAAATTGTATGTATAGTGTGATGTAATACATTTAGTTATAAGTTATGGAACATGAGATCTCTGTTACAGAAGTTTACACTCGAATAATAAAGAATAATTTCATTATTATTGAATTCTAACTGAATGTTTCCTACCATAACAAGAAAGTTCTGTAAAGCTTTATCCAAATATTCCGTAATCAAATCATGTTTTATTAAGAATAAACTACTTATAACAGTGCCAAATATAGGTGATCGAAATATCTCTACTTTTAAAAGACATAAAACCTTCATCATAGACATTATTCAGATCTGAAACAGTTTGAGAGTTAAGTTGATCCAAAAGAAATATTCAAACCATATACTTCATACTTAAAAAAGGTCAGAATAAATGTATACTCAATATCCAGAAAAAATACTTTATGACTAAGAAAGGCAAACGCAATTTATTGTTCTCATCACGTTTTTCTGTTACAGATAGAAATCATGAAACTAACACTTGAACTTTTTCAGTCATATATTTCTCAATAATACACCATTACAAGTTAAATAAGAAGCACAATAATAATTGTTTATCAATCACAACTATCAAGCTAATGAATGATTAGTTTAGTGTAAAAAAAATAACTCGCCAGTTTGACTGAAGTCAACACCTTTCAAAATTACTATGAATAAAAATCATAAGGTTCAAACTCCAAACAGAATGATCTTTTAGTGAAAATGCTGTCAACAAGAATAGTACAGTATTATTTAAGTTTATTATAGATAATTACTGGTCAGAATTAGCTGAGTGACACTGATCATGTGTTGAAAATCCATTTTGTAACATAACCCATTTGTTGTCTTTGTAAATATATTTCAAATTATTATTTATTTTGATCAGATCGATTGGAATTTTTTATTTGAAAGTGTATTCCATGAAATCAAGTATGAATCATACAAGAATATGAAAATTATCGTCTATCATCCAGACTTCTTGAAGAATGTTTGTGATATACACATGTCGGCTATGAATACAACGAGCAGTAAAAGGTATTTTTTCTCAAAACTGAATGTTATGCTTCCAGTAACGAGTTGCTGCTATAAAAACTTGTCAAATCGCGACTTTATTTTGAGTAATGAACATAATATTCAAAAGCATTTGTCATGAATGTATAACAATTAAGTTCTACACATGTATTTCTATTTGGTCTAACAACGACAGTGTGGTGGTTGTATATACTGAATTGTAGACTGATACTTTCGCAAGTATAAGATCGCGGTGCTGATTTGTCACAGAAGCACAACAAAATAATTGTACAATCCTTATCAATCGCGATCACTTTTTTAAATGGTATTCCTTATTAATGGAAACTATATTCAAGCAACACAGAACTTGACTAGTTAACTTTTTAAATTTAGATAAACTTACGAATCAGTCCATGTTGAAACTAGTGAATTTCTTCATTTTCTTAATCAGCCGGCAGCATATATATATAATGTGTATCTGTTATAGACTTTTGTGTACAAATGAGAAGAATCAAAGTTTATTAGAACGAATGTCATGATTAGCTAGACATGGTTTTCATTCCACTTCAATTATTATAAATTGGAAATATGCTTAACAGTTCACTTCATGAGTCGATTTAAGATAGACCACCATGGGAAACCTGGAAGAACTGGATGGCCGTTTCGTTCTGCATTAAAGGGACTCGAACCCAAGACCACTGGTGTCGCGCGCGAACGCTTAACCCCTAGACTACTGAGCCCGTCGGCATCCAACTGTGTTAATCTCTAACTTCAACCAACAGACGATATAGTACGATCGTTCATAATTTCCTTCAACGAGTAACTGCCTCACAACAGACACGCTGAACTTCACTGGTCACGGCTTCTCACTAAGACTCCAGGAAATATATATTGAAGAAGTCCCGTGCTAGGACAAAACGGCCGTCCAGTGTTCCAAAGTTTTCCATGGTGGTCTAGCTTACATCGACTTATGAATTCAAATATTAAATTAATACAATCTTCACAAACTCCCATCCTGAAAATATATTACTATCTAAATGAAAACTTTGCTCATTATTCAAAACATTCTTTAAACACTTGTCAGAATGAAAAGAATTGTGTCAAGAGAATGAGTAATTAGTAGACGGACTAGTTGAAATTTCCTTGATCAATAGTTGTATACAAATTAACAGAAATGGTAAAAAAAAAGTTAAATAACTCATTTCTTAGCAAATCATGTCCCAGATACTCAGAAATGACATTGTTTAGTAAACAATTGTAAATAAGTCAAAATTAAACATTAAATTAATAGGAAAATATGCAAGACTAAAAGTTAGATTAATAATAGAATAAACAAATTCAAGTAATTGAATACAATTCATGGAGAACAAAACACATGAATAACAGTTATTCTGTCTATTCTACCCGATCCCCAAGTAATCAATATAAATATATACACTTTTCAATTTATTGTACGTTTACGAACTTGTACTGTAGTGAGTGAGAAAATAGGCAGGGACAATCAAATATATCTTAATACAACATTACAGAATATTTTGGTAAAATGTGTGAACCATACAATAAATAATACATTTGCAAAATGTCAATCAGTTGTCTCAGAAATGATTGTTCCTTTTGTAAATGTCAATCAATCGTCTCAGAATTCACTGTTCCTTCATTTCCATATCAATCACTCTTTGTTCTCGTTCTCTTCTCTTCAATCTTCTTAACCTTCTACCGCCAGACATTTCACTTTCAATTGGTGATACATATTACTTATATCTGTCGACATCAGTAGCACATACTACAGTAATATTCTAAATTTAAAATAAAATTCTTTTGAATTATTGTCAGATCATACATAATCATGATTTTATTTAGATTATATAACAATCAAATATCTGTCTATTGTTTGATTATATTTTTTTCTAGAATTCTGCATACTATGATAGTGATAAATTTCTTATACAATATGAGAAGTACCTTAAATCAATATTTCAAAGAGTTTTATTTCTTTGATAACCGTAAGTAACATTGTCACCTACAGCAATATCATTGATTTTTGATTTTGTCCAAGTTGACTGGAATATCTTCAATGCAAGTTTTAAAACAAAAAAAATCTACGGCGAATATAAACATTAAAATATATTTGGTTAAATTGTAGATTTAAAAAAATAATAGAGAGAACTGATCAATAGACAAAACAAATATTACTAATTCATGCTAAAGGCACGGTTAATCAATCCTCACCAGGTTGACTAACGTACATAAATTTAAATAATACTGAGATAAGAATCATTGTGTAGGATTACCGCCAAAAAAGTTCCCTTCGTTTTTTTTTCTTTTTGATTAAGGGCAGCATAATAATTATGTTACTCTCCAAATTTTTTTCATTTATTTACATAACAAAATACTGATGGATATCAATAAAATTATTAGAAAAAATGCCAACAAGTTGTATTGATGAGGTGAAAGAAAATTTCCCATGGACAATAGAACGACATCACGAATATTCTACTATAAGTGAAAGTAAAAAAAACGAGGCAAGTTTAAAACTCAGTAAAATATTATTCAATTTTATGGTCACAATAAAGCATTACGTTAAGTAGTACAATCTTAAAATCTTACACATAATCGAAATCAGCTTCTAACGAAAATTTGATTTGATTGATAAATATTATGAGACTAAGTTACTTTTGTTTCTACTACTGATTGCAAATTCAACTAACTCATTGATTCATACCACTATATAATGCTATGTTTGAAGAGATAATGAGATCACCTAAAACCGACGAAAGGAACGAAGGACCAACGACACAATGACAAGACAAGCTAAACCATTCAGATATATCCAAGCCCTGCTAACTAGAGCTAGAAGACCCGGTTCAGATGAAGGGAAGGTATATTCCACAGGTACCCAGAAGCACGAACAACAATAAGCACTCAACTCACGCGTATGTATATAGCATAAAAATGTCCTTGGGAAACGTCACAAAAAAGCATATTAAAAGAGGGAACGGACCAATGACATTTAGGGTCCCCTTAAGTGGGAAATACAATCTGAAGGTGGAAATAGGCACTTTTGACGCGAAAACGAGAAATTCATATTTCCAAAATAAAATCACAAAAATATGACGTTTATCAAGTGATTGCTGGGGATATATATACATAAAATCTGAACAATTATCCATAATTTCCATCGTTGATGTAGTTATTTGTTTACAATGTATAGGTACTTGAAATATTTGATGAATTAAAGATCACTTTGATTCAATTATTATCATCGAGTTCATGGTTCAATGAAAACAAAAAAGGCACTATTGATCAGGTTTGTTCAATTACAATCGATTGCATAATTAATAATCTATTATATTGTTCAGGTTAAAAATATTAGTTTATCGATAATTTCATCGGAATCATTGAATGTGAAAGAGAGAGAGAGCGAAGATTTTATATTCAATGTAAGTTTTAAAACCAATGTATTCCCATTAATTATTATTATTATTCTCTAATTAAAGGTGAACAAGATTTGGTGTCTAAATGATTTACTGAAATTGTTTAAAGAGACTTTCTGTGTACATCCAATTATCTCATGATTTTATTTATGTTACTGAGATGCTAAGGAAGATTTGTAGCTCAGAGGGATATTTTTTGTGGAGTTTTGTTTTCTGAGCTGGATAGTTTAGTCGTGGAGCTTTCATTGTTCCTCTGAACAACCTCATCAGCACGAACTTCAGGTAGAAGTGAAGTGTTTGAATTTCTCCATATATGACCCATAGCTTGTCCTGTCAACCTCGATTTTGATTGCTTATTGTTGACTTTTAACCTGTCATTGTCTGCTTCTTTATTTTGATTTTATCTCCCATTGAGTTGATTCTCAGTCCTATATTTGTCTATGATCCTTCTGAATGAATGATAGACGGGATCGATTTCAATGTATTTGTTGATTGCTGATTGACCAGAGTCCCAATCTTCTAAAAATTCTCTGGTGCTTTTGGTATTCCCTCAATCCAAGATCTCAATATTTTTCCAGTCTGATGTGTGTCTACAGTTTTCTACATACATTGATATAAGCGAAAATATATCGTGGTGTTTCGCCGCTGATCGGTGTTCGTGCAGGCGAAGATGAAGAGAGCATCCACTTTTCTCGATATAGTGTTTCCTCAGTTGGAACAATTTATTTTGTAGATGACTTTCGTCTCTTCTTCTTCTGTTGTTTTGTCCTTTGGTTTGCATAGGATTGATTGAAGTGACTTCACTGGTTTGCGTGCTACAACTGTTCCAAACGGCTATAATAATGTCTTCGTAATTTTTTTATGTATGGTAGAAGGATTCGTTTGTTGGTTTCTGTACTTGATTTCGTTTCTGCTGATGCGTTCAGTTAATATTCTTTGATGCGATTGGTTCGGTAGTTGTTCATTTGAAAGATGGTCTTTAGATATTTTTCTTCATTTTTCCACTCTGCAAGTGTGTTGCAGTGTGTTCTCTCCCTCTTAAATAAAGTTTGTACGCAGTTTATTTGTGAGTTCTTGGAATGTTGCTGCTCTGATTAAGGATTCGATCTGTGTAGATCAGCTTCCGATATACTTGAGTCTCCAGTTTTACTGCGTTGGTCCTAGTGATCAGTACACCCAAGAATGGAAGTTTGTTTTTTGACTTCTGTTTCATAGTGAACTTTATGTAATCGAAGACGTTGTTGGTAAGATTGTTGGTGTTTTCCAGCTCGTCCTTTTTGACGATAACGAATGTGTCGTCCATATAACAAATCCCCATTTTCGGCTTGACCACTGGTAAGATCGAGGCTTCCAGTCTCTGCATCACAGCTTCTACAATAAGTCCTGACATGGGTGATCCCATTGATGTTCCTTTTATTTGTCATCAGGTTTTATTGTTAAGTTGAAAGTATGTTATTGAGCATAAATCGATGAGTCCTAGCAAACTTTGATTGAAGATCCGTGTACTTTTTGAGGTTTGTTTAATCGCCGAGGAGTGAGGATAGAATTTTTTTCCTAAGCTTTATTCGATTGAGGTGGTTAATTCTGTTACGTTGAAGGATATCATCAATTCGTTGCAACTGATTTGAATCTCTTCAACCTCATTCAAGAATTGCATGGAAGATTAAATGGTAGATTAAATGAATCTACTAAATATTCTTGAAATTTCTCCTGAAAAATTAGATGTTATGGTTCCGCGGATTATTACAATCGGGCGTAGCGATATATTTGTTTTGTGTATCACTGACCCATTTCAGACTCCTTCGATCTCATCAACCCAATAGCAAACGTCAGTGCATCAAGGAAGAAAATGATATCGTCAGATGTCACTTCTCTATTCACAAATGTTCAGCTCACAGAAACGATTTTCTTCTTATACGATAATATTTTTCATTTTTAATTAAGCTGGTTTGTTTGCAGTAACTCAACTAACAGTAAATCTTAATGGTTGAATTTATGAGTCTATCCAATCTAGACCACCATTGGAAACCTGAAAGCATTAAACGGTCGTTTCGTTCTAGTATTGGACTCCTCAACAGAGCGCATCCATGATCACGTATGCGGTAATCGAACCCAAGACAATTGGTCTGGCGCGCGCGAACGCTTAAACTCTAGTAAATTATTACTAATTTAGTGAAATTCAGCATATAGTTCAGTGACGTTTCCAATCCCATATGAAAACGACAACTTAACTAGTGGATAGCGATTCAGTAGTTAGCTTTAACGACGTTTGATTTAATGAAATAAACCGATCAAACTAGATGCTTGAAAAACATTATTCTTTGTTGTCTATACAAAATTAATGTACTTCAAATACTAATAAGAGTTATCGGTAAATAAATGAAATTAGAGTTTGAAGAAAAAAATAGTAAAGAGAAGAATATCATATTCTTTGCAAATCGATTGACAGACGATTTATGGTGAAAACGTTAAAGGATATGTTCTAAACAATTATCAAAACCTTAACTTGTATAAATCCCTTAATGAAAAATATTGTCCTAAATTTAAGGTAGATCCTTGAAATGAAAATTGTTTCACAAGTGAAACTTTTAGCCTTCTTATAGATCAATCACTAGGGATTTAATGTTTTATATGGTTTACGTTACTCCATTTGTGTCGCTTTCATACTACTTTATTAGTCAATTTCGTGAATTGCATTTGGATTTTAAGCATTTAATGGAAAATAAATGAAGGGTTTAGGAGAAATTTCATTTGATTTTACCACTGTTTAAGAGTGGAAACCTATTTCTCTGCGTAAGTAATAATTCAATCGAATTATTTCAATGTATCCTACCTGTTCTGAACAGTTGTCAGAACCTTAGGCAGATCAAGTTATACAGTAATAAAACAAACTAACTTAAATTCAACTACTCTACGTAGTACACTTACGATCACTAATCTTTACGCAGAACGATCTCTAAATGACTGACAAGATCATGATTTGCACCATTTTGTGTCATTCCTCCACACTATCTCGTTAGTTGATCCTGACAATATAACGTCAGCTTGAATTTTTACTGCATAAAATTTCGGAAATCTACCCTTATCATTGCTACTGGCATAAACTAGTCGAATAGATTTCATGTCTACTTCTAACTCCTAAAAATTATTGCCAAGCGCTTGACATACTTCGTTCATTAATCATCTCAGACATAATTTTAAGGTGATTGTTTATCCAGTGCAGTGCCACAGCGTGTTATAATAAACAAAACCCGTTTACACTTTAAGCAAGAATATCTTCTTGATATGCATTGTTTGTTATGAACTGTAGTTCAGATATCAGTACTTCGTAATTACGACTACTAAAAAGGCATTTCAGTAGTTGTCATCTGTCTGTTAATTGACTTCGGCATCTGTAGGAATGGAGTTCGTAGTTTCAAACAATTCGACGGAAAAGTTTTTTGTTTCCATTTGATTATTCAACTTGCAAACATATAAATGTTTTCAAAAATCCCTGTTTCTGTTCTAGAATAAAATTCTAGAAAATAATTACTTTATGAATGAATATTATTCTCGGAAGACTAAACTCCTCAAATCATTTGGCGCAACTTTGGGTAAATACGATAAGTACGTTGTACTTTTTAAATATTCATCTCTTATATTTCTGAGTACATAAATATAATCAAATATATCTTTATAGAACTAATTTTATTTAATATGTCGCGATTTGAAACCAATTGTATTCTAAGCAAAAATTAAATAGTTGAATTCGTGAGCCAATTAAATATAGACCACCATGGAAAACGTGGAAGTACTAGACGGCCGTTTTATCCTAGTATGAGGCTCCACAATCCCGTACCAAAGGGACTCGAACCCAAGACCCTCCGTATCGCGCGTGAACGCTTTACCTCTAGACCACTGAACCAGCCGGCATTCAACAGTGTTAATGTTTAACTTCAACCAACCCACGAAACTGCGCCACCGTCCACCATTGTCTTCAGTGAGTTACTATCTCACAACAGACCGATAGGTCCTCATTGTATGTAAACTGTAATTAGATTTATTGATGTAAGCTTAAAAGGTTAAAAAGACACATAAGCAAAGCAGAAACACTTGTCTATATTTGTTGAACTTAACTTATTGCTGGAAATCTACACGAAGTTGACTCTACCCACCGTTCCCTGTAATAAAATTGTATTCATAAAACAGTGTAGTTTAAAAACGTGAATTTTGGCCTAGATTGTTAGAAATAGAAAAAGATAATCTGACATCAGTGTTTACTGATGACAGTGATTAGACTCTCCATAGTTTGGATACCCTATTTTAATTGCATTTATTTTTGTTTTGTTAAGACTGATTACAATTTTAATGAATTCATATTCACTACAAATCGTAGTGTTCATTGTTCGAATCGTTATTCTGTCTTATATTTGTAAATGATCATTGGATTATAATTGGTAATGTAACCTTATTTGTTTTTATAATGGATTGAAATAAAAGTGTAGGAAGTATTTCGAATAAATTTCAGTAGTATAGTTTTCTTCACAGAATTTGATAAATCAATAACGTTTATAGAATATAATGATTTTATCACGTCTTTTTTTAGTTTTACCCCAAATACAAAAATGCTAAATGTTTATTGACTTTAAATTTTCACTAAACAAATTTATATATCAGTATAGGGTTGTGTAGATTATTAATTTGTTGATTGAGATCTTGAACAGGATGATGTTAGACTGGACGGCCGTTTCGCCCTAGCACGGGACTCCTTAGTAGTGCGTATCCACGATCCCGCTTGAGGGATTCGAACCCGGGGCCTTCAGTCTCGTAGCTCATTGGTCTAGTAGGTTAAGCGTTCGCGCGCACTCAGTGAAATGACTTCTAAGTATCACAGTAGGTCAGTATTGTAGTGTTTATCAACTGATTTGAACTACTTCATTCTATACATCTGATATTTTTGTTCAGAATATGATACACATTTAGATTATGTATAGTATTTTTAAATCTGAGATCTAAATCAATTGAAATATGTTCAACAGTGTATGTTTGATGTCTTTCCAAAGTATAGTTTTTCAAGA